TTAAATCTTCTCCATATTATCTAGTCAATCCTTGGATGTTGTTCAATACTCTATAGTAAATCTTGTATTTTTCGTCATCGAATGTCAATATGAGTTTCTAAAATACTGTTTGAGAAGTCCTTGCAAACAAAACAAAAACGGTCGTAATAAACTAGATCTTATAAACTGGAGCGAGTAGCATTAATCGTAGGATTCGCCCAGCTCTTTCTAATAGAAATCGTGATCTACAGAGTTCTACTAATGTTTTGATTTATTTGATTTTAAAAATCTGATCTCAAATTCACGTTCTTCGATCTCAATTATTTTTCGGTGAATCCTTAACAAAAATGTTTGTTTTTTCAAAAACCTGATGCAATCCTTGAAAAATCAATTCTCAGAGAAATTCTAAAGAAAAGTTATCTTTAACTTTGACTTATTCTTCTGCCATTCAATAAAATGCGGACCGCATGCAATCAAGCAAACAATCTATTCTTGTAAAACTCTTCTCTACGAGCAAGAGAGTATACTTACAACGAATTGCCCGAACTTTATTTGGACACATGGTCTTAATACGTTCCATCGCCCGTTCATCACGTGATTGATATATCTGTTTGATAACCTTGCGGCATGTTGTTGTGATCCGCTTCTTTTTACAACCTTTTAATTCATTATACGATAAACCTAATACATTTGCTATTTTCTTAATCTTTTTTTTCAATTCGGTTTTTTTCTTTTCTTCATCTTTATCTTTATCTTCTTGTTGCTGTTGTTTTCCATCATTTTCATTTGCTTCTTCTCCATCTCCTTCTTCTCCATTTCCTTCTTCTGCTTCATTTCCTTCTGAAACATTGAAAACCATTAAAAGAATATGTGAAGAAAAATTATCAAAAATCGCAACAAGAAAATATTTCGATCAATTACAATCAACAATCCAAAATGCATTTTAATATATTTTCTGTGATAAATAATCAATGTGTATGCAATGTTTTATCTGATTTTTATCAAATTTTTAATCAAAAACCATCAGTTAAAATCGATATTGCATTCAATAATCGACTGAAACCCATTCTTATTCAAAAAATCTATAAATATCAATTATAACTTAAGAACTTGATTACAATCTGTTAATTTTAATAGGTTTAATGAATGAAAATCAACTATATTATAAAAATATAATAAGATCTCTTATATGTTAACTTTAGTTTATTAAAATCGATTATTTTGTACTTTATCTAATGAAAACCAATTTTTGTTTGAAAATTTTAAAAAAATCTATTTAACTTTTTCCCAACATACCATTTAATTGATTATATGCAACTCGAGGTATAAGAAGTAGAAAATTTCCAGTATCGTCTTTTTCCCTATTTCAAAATCATATTAAAAAATATAAAATAAATCTTTCAATGATCTACTTGTCCATCAACTGTTTTTCAAGATATTCGATTTGGTTTTTTAAACGTTTATTTTCATCTATAATCATTTTGTACTGATCTAGCAACAATTCGTATCCGAATCTTGTTGGTGGTAATGATAATGGGTTAACATTAGCACGATTATTATTATTATCATCATCATTATTTGATGATAATGGACCTGTTTGTTCTTGATATTTTCTAGTAAATTTCGTGTTATTTTCTTACGTGGCATTTCAAAATGATTTAAGTTTAATTCATATTTTATTTCCCAATGTAGATTAATTTCTCTAGTGTTAACTATATAGTGGTAAAAGAGAAGTAAAAAATCTGAAGTGAATAATGATTTTATTGATTTGCTTATTCTGAAATGAGATAATAGTTCTATCTAAGGAATTAATTTTTTGTATTATATTTATTCTTGTGTTAAGATTAGTCGTAAGTTATTGAATTAATTACTTATTTTTCTCACAATCACGAATATGGCTTTTATAATTAATTGATCTTTTTTATGTCATTTTTTGACGGAAAAAAATCGCATTTGTATTAAATATTCGTACATTATTTTACAACAATGCGAAATATTAAATGAAAAAAATATTTAATTTTATTTCAAACATTTTTCTTATTGAAAATACTTAATTTCTTTTAGCTGAAATTTTCTCAAGATAAATAACAAAGATAAATCTTCATCTTTTTTGTTTTTATCAAATATAAATAAAAATTATTCACATATTGTTTGTGGGAAAAAATTTTAAAAAGCAGTTAGATATTTTATTTTACAATTCATTAATTTATCATTTGTAAATATATTTTTTGATGATGATTAAAACAAATTTTAGTTATTTAAAATAATTCTTCATATGAAGAAAATTTCTTTGATAGGATGTAAAACAAACAGGATGTTGAAATTCAAATGACAATTAAATTAAATTAAATTCCAAACTTAAAGAAATGGAAATTGATAGTGCTACCAAAATCGATCGAATTTTTAATTTAGATGAAATTCTGTCGTTTTAGTTCTGCTTAGTCATAGAATTCAATGGAAAAATCAACCGATTTGAATTGATAATCGAAATGATAAAATAAAGATTTCCAAAAGAAATGAATGTTTAACGTAAATTAAAATGAATGTTTGAGAAAGTTGAATGATTAATGTAATTGTTGAAATAATAACATTTAATGAAAATGTTCAAATATTTCATGAAAAAGAAATTTGATTTCCATTAAAATTAACAATAAAATCAAATTGGAAAATGTTTGATATTCAATTATCATTATAAACAAAAACAAATTCATCGAAAATCGATTTCGTAAATGTTCTTGTTATTATTTTTGTTTCAGAAAAAATGAAAAATATCGATCTTAAAATTCTTTTTCTCTTTATTAGTAGTATAGTGAAGAACTAACATGATCAAGAATCAATGTGTCATTGAGAAAAAAATTTCTTTATGTACATTTTATCATACGATATTATATTATCTAATATCGTAATATATAGATAAAAGAGAGTGTGATAGTTCTGTTAGGTAATGGGAAAGTATTGAAATATAATCAATGGATATTAGTAACACAATTCTTATGATAATGCATTATAATGCATTAAACAAAATTCATCAACAAACAAATAAATCAGTTCAAACTAATTATTTATTTTCGATTTCTAGATAACAAATAAAGAATGAAACGTC